TTCAGGGCACCAGCTTCAGGGTAAGGCTTTCTTTCTCTGTCAGCTCTGGGGGACGATCCTTGTCATCAGTCTTCCCCTGGGGCTAAGAGTTTCTCAGCTCAGGGACTCTGGGTCCAAAAGACATGCTCTGCTCCCGGCTCTTCTTTCTTTGTGGAGGAGGTCCCCCTCTCTCTGCTCCCTTCTCTCTCCTTTTATCTCTTATAAGATAAAAGGTGATGTAGGCGACACCCCTGGGAAACTCCCCTTACAGGGCTGTGACTTGAGTAGGGATGTTGCATCCCACCCTAGTCCTCATTAACATGACCTAATCTTGCCTCATTAACATAAGGGACAGCTGACTCCCAAGTGGAACCATAACCATAGGCTTAGAGGCTAGGATTTACAAAATGGAGGGTAATCAGATCACAGAATGGAGGACAACCACACAATTCTGGGAATCATGGCCTAGCTAGCACATATTTTGGGGGGATACAATTCAGTCCATGACACTGGCATCATTGTCTACTTTCTGTATGCTGGCCACAATTCTAAGTGTGTTATTCTGTTAACTCACTGGGTCCTCTACCCCTATGAAGGAGTAACTTTCATTCTTCCTATTTTATAGATGAGGAGCTGGACACTGGACACCTGGAAAGGTTAAGTAAGTTGTCCAAACCCAACCAGCTGATAGGTGGCAAAGCTGAGATTTAAACCCACTGGTTCCAGAGCCCACCTATCTGTGATGGTCAGCCAGTATAATGTAGTGCTTTCAAAATTTGTTCTTGAATCTCACAGCCTTGTTCAATTCTTGTTCTCCCACTTATAGTGTGACCTAGGGTAAGCTCCTCCTATGCAAAATGGGAATAATTGTGTGCCCTCTACAGGGGTGTTCAGAGAATTAAATAAGATAATCAGTTCATGTAAAATATCTAATAGAGCACAGGCAGTTTGACAGTATTAAGTCAGTGTGCATGCTTATTGGATAGAAGATCTTTTGGGGTTCTTTCCAACTCTAAATTCTATGATTCTGTCTTTATGTAGTCCTTCAGTCATTTCTTTTTGCCAGTACCTGTGAGTTTTAAGTACTATGATGTTTGTTGTAAACAGTCAAGCTTTGTAATCGCCTGAGGACATCTCTGGATCTCCTATCCAGTAAAAGCTATGGGCTTTGTGACAAGTATGTGTTGCCTAAAACCATGGTCTGATTTCCCATGCACAATTCTGTATGCTAGATGGCTGGATAAAGATCTCTGGCTAAATGTTTCCTATTTGTAGCTGGACTGAAGGCAGAAAGAGAAATTCAAACAATAGATTACTGTTGTCTGATTTTTGAAAATTTATTGAGATGTTTTAATGGGAACAACTAAAAGAGTATACAATTAACTCGTCAACATTTGGAGCAAATGTTTCCTCTTTCTAAGGGAGAGAAAGGGCAATCTAGGATGGTCTATGCTATTAAATTTATTTGCAGTCAAATGGAAACTTTCAGCTCTTTCGGTGATGATTTAATTGTAAAGACTATTCATACTTTGTCTGCTAACACATGCTTATTATTTCATGAAACTCGTAAGATTATTTTCATCACCGCCATATATTGACAGGCACAAAAGTAGCAGACAACATTGGTGGAAATTATAGAGTTTTGAGAGATGTTGGTCTGACTTGTATGCAAATTTGGTAACTATTTATCGGTAGTTATACAAAAATACAATGAATGTTCCAGAAGCAAATAATTTTTTACTTTGAATAAATCTTGTTAATTCACCCTGTTCAAAGATGAAACAAAGCAAATTAAAATATAGCAAAAAAGAATGTGTTTAAAATAGGTGAAATTGCAGACTATTACGGCATTAGGAGGGAGTTTAGTTCACAAAATAAATAACCATAAAGTCCAAAACACTTGGTAGAGGTAGGCTTCTCTGACAGCCTACATAAAGAAGGAAATAAAAGACAGTTATGTGATTTATAGTGCCTATAGACAAACACAAATCAGTTGTTTAGAAGCACAACTGAGACTTGGGAGAAATGTCTCCTGTCATTTGGAAAGTGGTAAATAACACCTTCAACAGCCCTTGTACAGAAAACATAGCAGCAGGTATATTTGTGCTATTACCTTCAATACAGACTATTTTGCCATCAAGTCCAAGATCAATTCATTAAAAGCAATTTTACGCAGGTCTGTTATGCAGCCCTTTAATGTTCTGGCTTAACCTAGGGATCTGTTGTATCTGGAGATACAGAAAGGAGTCCTGGTGGCGCAGTGATTAAGCTAGGCTGCTGACCAAAAGGTTAGCGGTTCAACACCACCAGTGACTCTACAGGAAAAAAGACCTGGCGATCTGCCCCTGTAAAGATTCCCAAACCAAAAACCAAACCCACTGCCATCGAGTCAAATTCTGACTCAGAGCAATCTTATAGGACAAAGTAGAACTGCCCCATAGGGTTCCCAAGACTATAAATCTTTACTGAAGCAGATTGCCATGTCTTTCTCCCTCACAGAGGCTGGTGGGTTCGAACTGCTGACCTTTTGATTAGCAGCTGACTGCTTAACCACTGTGCACCAGGGCTCCTCTTGTAAAGATTACAGCCTAGGAAACCTGATGGGGCAGTTCTACTCTGTCATATTGGGTCACTGTGAGTCGAAATCAACTTGATGGCACATAATAACAGCAACAGAGATATAAAACAACTGAATTGTCCTCAGGTAATCTTGCTTAATTTTTTTTTTTTTTCCCACTGAGGATTTGGTAGGTATTGATTAGATATTAGTTTTAGGTTAAATAATCAGACATATCTGGAAATGGATGTGCCACTGAGAAGTGACCTAGAATTGGGCCAGCAAGGCTGAGATTTTCTTTAAGAAATAATTTTGAATTGCCTGAAAGTTCTGTACCATAACATTATAGTTTTAAATACACAGAGGATCACTTCTGGAGAATTTTTACAAGATGGCCTATTCCCTCACCTCTGTAGTTTTCTATTTAGTAGGTATGGGATAGGGGAAAGTGAGGGGATCTTTATTTTTAAAAAGTCAGGGAGTAATTCTGGTGATCAGTGAAGTTTGACAGCCACTACTATAGATTATGCTGCAATAATTTTAGATACAGTAAATTTAAAGCAGTTATAACCAAATACATGTTAGTCATAAAACCCTCCATTTTATGGCTAAGTTCAGCTATTTTTTAGGACTGAGATATCCCAAAGTATTGCCCAATATAAGCTATTTCTGAAAGGTACATCTAGCCAGTTGAATAAGGTAACTTAATGTGTAGATTTCTTATTAGTAAACCAGTGAAAGTTTTTGGTATGAGTATTGGAAATGATGACTTTGAATAGTTAATATGTATTCTGGGATAACATTTATTCTCACCATTGTCTGATTACATTTCCATATAGACTAAAAATATTTTGGTAATTATATTCTGCCTAGGGAGCATTTTCCTATTTTTAGTCCTCAAAAAATTATAAAGCACACTTATATGAAGTCTACTGTTATCTTAGGTCCTTAAAGGTACTTTGATTTGTAGACTTTTAAGCAATAATATGAAAAATTGTACTCAGAGATTGGTATGTCACATACTTCCTATCTGCAGTAGCTCCAAATTAATTATAAACAAAATCCATACATATATAGTAAACCTTTGTTTAAAGTAGAAAAACAAGCCCATATATGTGTTGTGCATGTCTTAACCTAGTATTAAGATTTATAACAACAACGGAAATCTTGACTAAGTGTCTTATGTTTACTTTCCATTTTTTCCTTACAGGCATTGCTTCTATGACAGTGCCAGTGTACATTGCCGAGGTCTCACCACCCAATTTAAGGGGCAGATTAGTCACCATTAATACCCTCTTCATCACAGGAGGGCAATTCTTTGCAAGCATTGTTGATGGAGCCTTCAGTTATCTGCGAAAGGATGGATGGAGGTCTGTAAATACTTCCTACATTTAATTTTTCAAATAAAGCCTGATTTTAGGGGAAGGGAAGAATATACAGCTGGTTATTTTAAATCATTATAGCTAATTTGTAAGTCAGTGGTGTACAGCAAAATTGAAAGTGGACAAGAAGCTGATATTTATTTTAATAATAGACAAGGAATTGATATTTACAGGTTTTTTTTTTAGCATTTAGGTGACATTTCTCACACTGTATGTAATCTTTTGCAATATTTGTTTAAAAATTAATGCAGTGATAAATATGCATGGGGTTCTTGAATTATATCAGTGATTGACAAGCTATTTATGAGCTGCAAATATAGCTAATAGCCTTTTTTGATATAGGAAGCTACATTTTGGTCTGAAATAAATACAGTCTTTTAAGATACAGATTTAGCTTTGTAAAAGGTGTTAGATATGTAAATAAAAATATATTAATTATTGATCATTGTTCGGCTTATTTTGAATCAAAAAGGATGAGAAAAATGGTTTTAAAATACTTTAAAATAAATTTGGAATGAATGTTGTAAGTGCAAACTATTTAATCTTTTGTTAGAAGTTACAGATATTGTGAACTCTTATTTTGATATCTAACTTTGTAGTATTCAGAATAACAGACTAATGTAACTGTTCCTGAAGATTTTATTAAAGGGCATAACGGATTACCTATATTCTCTAACATGTTCTCTTGCCACCATTAATCATGTCTATTGAGCATCTACTCCGTATAGGTGCTAGGGATAGGATATGGAACAAGACAGACTCAGATCCTTGCTTTCATGGGATACTGAAGTTACTCCTTACAACACATGAAGAAAAAGGGTTCGGTGTGATAGGTTGTAGGGAATTATACTTCTTTGCAAGCAGCACATGGAACCATAGGGCTTAGGGTGAGCCACTAAAGTGTTAAACCAGTGGAGTTTTATTAAAAGACATGTCAGAAAACTCACTGAAGTCAGTGAGGGCCTACATTTGCCAGGACTACTAAAGGGAGAATGCAGTTGTTAAAAGCAGTAGCTTTCTCTGCAGATGTTGGCAAACTGCCTTCCACTTCTGAAGGAATCTCTGCTAAAGTGAGAAATTATTGGAGAATTGTTGAAGCAGAAAATGTCATAATTCTTTTCCACCCTGTATATGAGCAGTAAAGGGGCCCTGGTGGCACAGTGGTTACCATTAAGCACTTGGCTGCTAACTGAAAGGTCGACAGTTCAAACCCACCAGCCACTCCTAGAAAAAAGATGTGACAGTCTGCTGCTGTAAAGAGTACAGTCCTGGAAACCCTATGGGACAGTTATATGCTGACCTATAGGGTCGCTAGGAGTCGGAATTGACTCCACGGCAATGAGTATATGAACAGGAAGATGAAGATGATGAATATTACCAGCATAACTGTCATGGATTGAATTATGTCCCCCCCAAAAATTGTGTGAATCAATTTGGCTGGGCCATGATTCCCAGTATTGTGTGATTTTTCCCATTGGTTGTAAATCCTGCTTCTATG